TACATTGCAGTATCGGCTTCGTTTTTCCCACAAGTTCCCTCAGTGTGTAGAACCAGCAGAGACCTCACTGCCTCCCTGGGAGAAAGCTACAACATACATCTCCTTGCCTTGAGGCTGGGTGGCTGCTGCCTGGCCTTGACTCTTAGATATACTGCTCTATCTCCACCCTCTGCTGAGACCTACAGCTGTGTGCCCTTTGAGTAGTAGCCTCCTCCCAAGAAATGCTGTGGTTTTATAAAGTGATAGATGATTAAAAAAAAGTAAAGGGTTGTTCCTTTGGTTGCTTTCAAGCCTGGGGGATTGCTTAGCTCAAAGGAGTGTTAGTGGAATGCAGAAACCTTTATTTGCCAAGTCACACACCCCAAATCATAGCTGATGTCTTTTTTTCTTGAAAAGACTAGTTTTTGTTAGTTGCTTGGTAACTGGAGGATAGACTTAACTCATTCAGCACAGAGTGCTCCTGGTTTGAAGTGGATTCAGTATCGCATAATGAGTTATCAAATAGGTATGTATTGAGGACCTGCTCTGTGTGTTCTCTAACCCGCCCACCATTTGTGTAGGGAGGTTATTATTAGGTACAGAGAAGTTAAGTGAGTTGCCCAGGATTGAAAATGAAATCTCTGAAAATTTAAAAAAATATGTATTACAGAACTGTACACTTGAAACCCATGTAATTTTCCTAACCATTGTCATCCCAATAAATTTTAGTTTAAGAAAAAATGTGTTTGAGAGGACTTTTCTTTTTTCTTTTTGTTGTTGTTGTTTTCTTCTGTAAAGAATGGCAATAGCTGGGGTGGCCGGTTGGCTCAGTTGCTTAGAGCACAGTGCTCATAAACACCAGGGTTGCCGGTTTGATCCCCACATGGGCCACTGAGCTGCACCCTAGATTGAAAATGACGACTTGACTTAGAGCTGAGCTGCGCCCTGCACAACTAGATTGAAGACAACGACAAGTTCACTTGGAGCTGATGGGTCCAGGAAAAACACACTGTTCCCCAATAAAATTTATTAAAAAAAAAAAAGGCAATAGCTTCCTTCATGGTGATTCCAAAAGCCCAAACCCCACAGCTCCGATAGATCTGGGGGCCTCAGGGTGGTGATTATTCATAGTGGGAGGAAGCAAAACTCACTTTAGAGCTAGAAGCCCCAGGTGACACATTAGGCTAAGCCCTTGCCATCTGAACCTCAGTTTCTGCATCCTTAAGGTTTGTCTATTGTATGTCACCTGCACACTTCTGCACTGCTCCGAGAATCAGATGAGATGAGGCACATGGGAGTACTGTTGTAAGCTGTGGAGGAATGTAAAGAGGACCGTCACTGTGTCCTGCTATAGGCTCAGTGGTTCCCAGAATAGAATTAATTCAGTTAGCTTGAGGCCCTCGGCTGGGACTGAACTGGCTGGGGAAGGAACTATATGGAGAGTTTTTCCCACAGAACTGGATTAAAAATTCATTCATGGGGGCTAATATGCCCTTGGCCAATCTGGCATTGGATGACAAAACACTTGTGAATTATGTAGCCCAACATGAGAACAGCATGGGATCCTCACAGATAGTCTGTCAGCATCTTGAAGGAAGGGATCAAGCCTCTGAAAACATTCCCTCTCATCCAGGCAAGCGCTTCCCTCTTCCCTTTGCTGGCTAATCTCCAGACTTTGCTTTTGTAAAGAAAGCAGGGAATGCTGTTATCTTCTTCTCTGAGACCACATGCATTCTTAAGGATACCTCATACTTTTTTTTTCTTTTTTCATTGGGGAATTGGGGGACGGGGTCAGTGAAGTTGTTGTTCTTCAATCTTAGTTGCGGGTGGGTGTAGCCACCATCTCATGTGGGAGTCAAACCAGCAGCCTTGTTCTATAGAGCACACGTTCAATCCACTGAGCCATCCGGGTGGCAGCTCAGCTCAAGGTGCCAGAGTTCAGTCTTAGCTGCAGGTGGGCGTAGCCCACCATCGAACAAGCAATCTTGTTGTTACACCAGCTGAGCCACCCTGCCACCTGTTGGCAGCTCAGCAGCACCTCAGCTCGGGCGCAGCGTCACTGGCCCATGTGGGAATCGAACCGGCAGCCCTGTTGCTCAGCGCTCACGCTCTTAAGCTAATTCTTAACTAACTGAGTCACTCGGCCGGCCCCCTCATACTTTTAATAAGATGTGGTTTCTGGTTTCTCATCCTATAGAGAGGTTGAACTGGGGCCCCTGGTTTTGGTCAATGAATTTGGCGTGGCCTCAAGAAAAAATGATGCTCCCAGCTGCCTTGCACCTCCCACCTTCAGTGTCCTTCTTTTTGGCAAGTGGCCTGAAGTTCTCTTTGAGACATTCTGCTTGGGTTCCATTGTCCGCAGCGGCTGTCTGCGTGGCCATAGGCTGAAATCTCTCATTATGCGAAGTCTTGAATGATTCTGTACAAGATCTAAGAGAAGCAGTTGTTTTCTGAGTTGAGGAAGATTGTTCAGCTTTGACTTGAAGTGCTGGTTGTTGCTGTAGTGGCTTTAGTGGTTCATTTCTGGTGACTGGCCTTGGATTTCTGGAGCCCTTAGAAGGAGGCAGCCTTTTCTCCTTTTCCCAGAGAATCCATCACTGAAATCACAAAGCACATGGGAAGAGATTTTTGGGACTACCCAGAAAGCATATGAGTCCTTTGACTCACATACTATTACCGTTTCAAAGGCTACCATTTTTT